GTGGCTAATGTTTACCATATTGTACAGGGCAGCCCTAGTGTTAGAGAGATAAACAAGATAGACCAAAACCCTGCCTTCATGAAGTTTATAATAAAGCATGAAAAAAAAGACATTAAACAAACAAACCAATAAAATAGAATTTCAGGTGGTGATTGGAAGTGGTGTCTTTTGGAAAGGGTGATTAGGAAAGGCATTGCTAAAGAAATCTGGATTAGGTAACTGCCCTTCCTGTATGTTCCCATGAACCCTACACTAACATAACATAGAACTCTATTGAAACTGCTTGCTTGTCTTTGTCAGCTGTACTCCCAACACCTAACATAAGTATTTCTTGACTAAGAATGCAGAACTAATCTATAAATCTTCCAAAAGTGACCCAGCCCGGCAGTGTTCAAAATACACCAGAGACGCAGAGTTCAGAAAATGTGCAGAGATATCACAGCAAAAACAGTCCGCTCTCTCTTCCCATCCAGTCTCATGCAGCTTTGGAGCCGCACGTCAAAACACAGCAATGCAGAGCAAAGACTGCCTCCTCCTTTCATTCTTCTCATCCCCAGACTTACTCTGAATGACTAATTCATAGCTTCGTAGCCCCTGCCAGATCACAGTCCTCAGCCAACTCCAACTTACAAAGCTTTGCAAATACACTTTACCAGGCTGCTTCAAGCAACACTGCACCCCCTTCGCCAATCTTCCCCTTTCATTAGATTTACAGTTCCTGTAAAGTTAATTTCTATTCAAACCTTAGAGGATCTCCGCTGCTCCTATACACCAAACACAATGCAGTCATTCCGTGAAGAGCTAATGAGCCCATATATGGAAACCGAAGGAAACAGACTTTTAGTGCTGAGCACGCAATAGCGCATACAGAGAGCGAATTATAATGTACACCTAACACTTGTATAGCGTTGTTAATCAATGTTACCTCAATTCTAAAAAGTCAATGAATTAGGAAAGGGAAACAGAAAAGGCTGTTTATCTAAAACACGATGACAAACTCTTTGTCTTTTTCCTTTTATACTCTAAAGTCCTGTAATGAGGACGGAGTAAAAGGAAGCTCAGAGTTGACAGGAAAAATGGTTGGGAAATGAAAAAGGCGGAAACTGCAAAGCCCTAGACTTACAGCTCCCCCAAACCCTCTCGCCGTAGCTCGGAGGAGAGTGACCACAGGCCCACGGGAGCGGAGGCACCGGGCGGTGCCCGGTGGGCGGCGGGGCAGCCCCTGCGGGCGCCCGGTCAGCGGTCAGGCTCCACGGCGCGTTTCCGCTGCGGCCCGGACCCCCCGCCGGCCTGTGGCCACCAGTTACCTGCTGGTCTCCAGCGAGGAGTAGCGTTCCGGCAAAGCCTGGAGGCACCGCTGGAAGAACCGCACGTGCCGGTCCCGCAGGAAATCCAGCCGCTCTCCTTCGCAGTCCCCCACCTGCCGCTCGTCCTCCGTGGCCGCCATGCTGCTACGGAAGTGCCGTCTGCCGTGACCCGGAAGCGATTGGTGGCAGCGCGCGGGAATCCCGAGGGGCCTGCTAGGTGGAATGGCTGTCCACGGGGTCCACGGGAAGTCCTACCAGCGCTTCATCGCCCGATTTCTTTTTAGGCGGCGCACGACTCAACCTTTTCTACTGTAAGCCCCAAGCTTTGGAAACACCTCGCAAGCCTGGTAAAATCCGGCCCACAAATCCCTCCAGTACTTTTATCCTCCTTCGATATTTGGGAGGAAGCGCAATGTCAATAGTTTCAAGTTTGCTTCGAAAAAATCAAGGCCCGAAGGAGGCGAAGATGATATATGTGATCAGGAATGGCTCAGACTCACTTTTTTTTTAACACTAGACTTACTTTGTGGGAGGCCAGTTTTAAGCTGAATGGATACAGAAACTAACCCTACAAATCAAGCTACGGAGATAATTTTTTACTAAATAATTATTGACATTACAAAAGTTGGGTCTTCCCCAGCCCTCTAGAATATCATGTCACTTTAAAATGTATCTAAATACAATGTATGAAATGTATTCGCACGTGTGACTGCTTTCATCATTTTTCAACAAGTCTTAAGATTTTACTCTTTGCTTCAGTGTTTTGACTCCAGCATGACTGTTTTATCAATTTGAAACAGCAAGTAAGCTCCATAAGTTCTTAAACTGCCCATATACTAAAAATATGAAATAATATCATTTTAGCTATTTTTTTCAAAAAGAGGGATTTAAGGTGCTTCAATCACATTCCCTTTAAAACTTCACAAGGAACTCTTGGGGGCGGGGGGACAACCCACCCAAGGATCAGGCCTGAACTAGGTTTTTTTTTTTTTACCCGCACCCAAGGACTTTTTTTTTTTTTTTGCATTTATCTTCAGATAGAACAGGAGGGAGAAAGGGAGGAAGAAAGAGAGAGAGAAACATCAATGAGAGACACATCCAGTGGCTGCCAATGGGCCAGGGACAAACTGCAACCGAGGTTCGTGCTTTTAGCAGGAACTAAACCCAGAACTCTATGGTCTGTAGGCCAAGGCGTAACCGCTGAGCCAAATTGGCCAGGGCTGTTTTGTTTTTAATAATCAATTGAGCTAATAGAAGTTTGGGTATAATTTTAATTAATAGATTTCTTAGAAAATATTTCTTAAAAAAATGTACCATGTGGGCTAGAGTTATCTTAAACTTATTTGACAATCCAAAAAGTGCCTGGCATACTTTTAGGTACTACTTATTAACAGGTTTTCCAGCATGTCTTTAACAAATACTACATTAAAAAATGGCCAGGTATAAGTAGAGGGCTGTCCTTGGGACTTCCCTACAAATATGGAGGTCATAATCCTTGCCCTTCAGGTATGCCCAATCTAGAGAAGTTTTCACTGCACTATTACAATTAAGCTCTCTCACCTACACGCTTAGACACACACACATACACACACACACACATACACACACACGGTCAAATGTCTGAAGATGTTCAAAGTGGAGTCATATCACATATATTTAACTTAGTAGAATCAACTCTGCACACGCTATATATGCTTGGGAAGACAATCCTATTCAACCTGACCCTTAAAAGGAAGCCAAATATTTCATCTGATTCTCAGCTCAAGTACCAGCAATCTGATCAAAATCTGGAGGAAATATTTCTATGATGGACTCATTGAGAAATAATAAATATACTCCTAGGTAAATAAAAGGCTTTCCATAGGTGCTCTTGATCATACAAGGTTTTTGACATTTGCATGACAGAATTTAACCCTTACAGAGAATGCCACTCTATATTATAGCTCAAGTCTTCAAAGTATGGGAATGTTAGAGCATCCATATAATTGACTCGTATTTAGTCATTAAGTGATAACGTTTGAATTATATAGAAAGATAGGAAAATAAGTGTAATGTAAAGTACTTACAGTATAGTAACTAAACTGTACCTTATGACTGTAGTTATTTAAAAATATGTAGGTATACTTTTGGAAAAAGCTAGTCTGGGATGATGGAATTGTGGGTGCTTTATAACATTTTTCTTTTAGTGTTTATTCTAAATTTCTTATTAATATACTTTAAAAACCAACATAAGAAATGTTTATTTGACATTTCTTCTATGTGCTTGCAACTGAAGACTTTTATATTATGTTTATTCTACACAGTCTATATAAAGGATCCAGACAACAAATTCCTCATTCATTTTAGATTCAGTTAGAAGGACTGGTTTCTTCAAAGAAACTTCCATGCCTTCTTTTATTGAAAAACAAAATAAAAATAAAGCCAAAAAACCCCATAAGATTTGCCCTGGTCGGTTTGGTTCAGTGGTTAGAGTGTCAGCCCGCGGTCCAGAGAGACCCGGGTTCGGTTCCCACTAAGGGCACGTACCTCGGTTGCAGTTTGTCCCCAGCCCCGGTTGGGATTGTGAGGGTAGCAACCAGTCGATGTGTGTCTCTCTCAGGTTGATGTTTCTCTCTCTCTCTCTCTTCCTCCCTCTCTCCCTCCCCCTCTATCTGAAGATAAATGCAAAAAAATGTCTCCAGGTGAGGATAAAAAAAAATCCCATAAGAATCACATTGCCTCGGATGCTTACCTCGGATGCAGGAAATTGAAAGCTGCATTTGTGTGCAAAAGCAACATGTTAGTAAACAGTGCATAAATACCTTTACTTTTCTCTATCTTCGAGTTGTTCAATTCTGTTTTTAAATTCCCTTGTCCTATTATATATTTTATTTTTAAAAAGCCTCAAATAATTTTAAAAAATCATGGAAAATGAGTACTACAAATATGGGCATTCCTGATTGAGGATGTTTTATGTTAATTCTATTTTGCTCCAATAACTATATAATTAGAATTCAGTTTCCTTTGGAAGTTATATCTACTTTAAATAGTGTGAAATAAGAAAAGGTTTTGACCACTACTCACAGTAAATTTCTGAGTCATTTGACCTAAATGTATCAAGCCATAATTAAAGATACTCTAAGACAAAAGTCATAAAAAAATAAGTTTCCTACATTTATTATATTTTTGGTAATGTTCCTATAAAATGAGAACTAATTAGAATTAGGAACTAAGATGTTATAATATAAAAGTTGAGTCGAATTATTACAATGTATTTTCATGTACAAAAATTTGGAGATTTTAAAATGAACTCTTTTGACCAAATATGTTGAGGCAAACAAAAGCAGACAACTGAATCAGACAAGAAGAGGTGAAAAACAAGTTTTATAAATGTGCGAAGTCCAGAAAGGCTGACGGGAAATTTGGAAAAGCTAAAGAAAACCAAATAGATTCTATAAATAATACAAATAATAAAGTATATATGAGGTGTGAGGTGTATTTTTTAAATAAATATTCTTTTTATAAAACAGAGCATGCTTTAAACAAATATAAAATATTACACAAAATTTAATAACTGATAAAGTACTAATTTGTCAAACTTAGAAAATTGTACTAACTTATTTCATAACTCAAACAACAAGAAAAAAACTTTACATTTTTGTTACTCAAGCTAACTTACTTCTCAAATATAAATGTTACAAAATTTTGGTTTGAAAATGTCACTCGGTGATTGTCCTAATTTATTTTGCTGTGCCATGGCAAAAACAAAATATCTTTGAAATGTTCTGAGTATTTAAATGAAATACTGTTTGTAACATAAACTTATTCAAAAGACTTTCATATCAATAAAAGGCCAACATACACATTAAATACCCTCTTAGTATAAACAGGAAATACTAATAACAATACCACTTGGAACTTAATACCTATCAATTCACATACCACACAATAAATCAGTCTGTCTAGGCTAGTGATATTTAACACACATGGTTAGTCCCTCTGTCCTGCTGCAGCTGAATATGCTAACATACATTCTTTTCAACTGAATACCAATTTCATTATCTCGTATTCTTTTCTAAACTCCTTGTCTCCAGGTTGGAATAGCCCTAAGGAGAAGAAGAGAAGAGCAATTATAAATTCATGGGAAATTTTTTAAAAATCTTAACTAATTAAATGTTAACTTTTTTTTTTAGTTTAACTGTTTTAATAAAACAAAGTTTTATACAGGTAGAGAAAAAGGAGGCCAGGGTGTGGGTGCCACTGTGAAAGAAGTGAAAAGTACACACATCCAAGTGAATGTGGGTCAACGCAAGAGTGAGTTGCACCGATTAAATGTTAACTTTAAAAAATATATATGTTTGGTTTTCATCAACTTTTTACTGTAAACTATAATATACAGACAGAAGTTGCATCAAATATAAACATGCAGTTATTAAATTATTATAAAGTGAACACCCATTCAAACTCCTTTTTACCTATGTGGGATACGTAGAAGCGGCCCAGAGCCTGTTGGTCCTATCTTTTTGGTGCGTTCTTCCCAACCTTTGGTAGGTTTGTAAAGCCTAGAGGAATCTCTGCTAACATTGTTTTCAACCTATAATCAGAAGTAAAACAAGCGCCAGTTAATATATATGAAATATTAAGTTTGTACTTGTAAGATCCTTAGTAAGGATCTTAACTAAGATGGCAGTTTTAAGAAAAATACTTGATATTAACTGAATAATAAAACTGTTAATAACCTCTTCAGTCAACTTCTCATTGTGCTCACAGAGTTAAAATAAAATTTGGACTATATCAATCTATTAATAAACTGTTACTTTAGTTTATTTTTTCTAGTTCAATTATTTTATTCTATTTCTATTACAAGAGAAATATGATGCAGCGAAGTGTGATAGTGACATAGCTAGACAATAAATTTAGGATAAATCACCACCAGTTAGTTCTCTGTTTTACCCATGAGCATCACCTATATTTTTAGCTATGAGAATCACCACTGAGATTAAGCAATGCTCCTAGCTGCCACAGATCTAAAATAGAGGCTTATATAGAAACAAGGAAGAAAAGAACAGAGTAGGAAGAGAGAACTTAGGATAAAAGAAAATGAGGCATTTATAATGTGAATGGCAGAATTCAAATAATAGTTGCTTAAATTGTACTAAGCTATGCTAAATAAGTATAAAGTTCAAAAAAGATGATACAGAAAAAAAGCTGGATATAATGAAAATGGATGTTTGTATCCTTACAAATCAAGGAATTAGGAAAATAAAAATAAATTAATCTCAGTACAGAGTACCTTTTCTTTTAATTTTGCCAGTCTTCTTTGTTTATCTGCCTTTTCATCTTCCTTTGACTGTCTATCAAGAATTTTCAATTCCAGTTTACGTAAATCCTAAAAAATATATATCAACAAAAAATTGATAACATTAATAAACTAAAATTAAGTAGAATTTGTTTCAAAGCATAGTTGATTGGAAGTAAACTTAAATCACCTTAAATATCAATATTCCCTCAATACTGACCTTTTCCAATAAGAGTAAAAGCTTTATTTTCTTTTAAATACAAATGTAATACATGCACATCTTTTTGGAATCACTTTCTTTTTGGTATCTCTTATTTATGGCTCAGTCTAAAACTCATTCTCTTTTAATAGGTGAGTTAAGCCCACTTTCACTTATCAATTCAGATATGACTGGTTTTAGATCTCTCATATTTGGGGTATTTTATTATTTAGGGAGATTACTGTTATTAATAGAGACTAAAAGAAATTCCACTAATAATGTGTTGTCTATTTTTTGGACTTGTTATTTTTGCTCTATGAATATCATTACTATGTATTCTGATGCATATAACATTTAATAATGGTTATAGTCATAACAGTTATATCTCATTTGTACACTTTTTCATTTTAAAGTACATACATTTGCTTGTCTTTTTTTTTTTTTTTTTGGTACGTGCCCCTAGCAGAAACCGAACCCGGGACTCTCTGATCCGCAGGCTGATGTTCCAACCGCTGAGCCAAACCGGCCAGGGCTTTGCTTGTCTTTTTAATACTCTTTGAACTGAGTTCCACTTTGTCTGATAAGATTATAATCTGTCTTTGATTAGCATTTTTTGTATATATTTGTTTAAAATCACTTATAATCCTACCTCTCAGCAATAACCTTGATTCCTTTAAGTATACATTGAGTACCTACAATGTATAGGCTATAGGAATGGACAAAAGGACAAAACCTCTGCCCTTGTGGAACTTCTATTATGGTGGGAGATGAACAGTGAACAAGTAAGGAAATCACCTGTGGGGAAAAACGAGTCAGTTTGGCAAAGAAAAGGTACCCTGGCAGGGGCTACCTTTCTAGCCCTGTCTCCTGCTGCTTCCCATCTTCCACTGGAGGCCCTTAGAATGCTGAAGTATTTATGGCTTCCTCCACAAACCACTGTTCCACTCCTCCAAGCTACCATTCATGTTATTCTCTCTGCTGGGAAAGACCTCCCCTTTCGTCTCCTTCCAGACTCGAGTATCATTTCTCTTTGAAACTAGTAGCTGTGGCAAGTAAGCGTCCCTCCCTGCATATCTACCTCCTAAAATTCTCTGTCCACACCTCAATCACCACACTATTTACCACATCATACAGAAATCTACTTGCACATCTATCTTTCCCACTAGACTGTAATTTATGAGAAAGGAGGGAGCGTGGCTTACTCGTTTGGGAAGGTAAGAAGCCTAGTATATCAGAAGCACTCAGTTTTTCCTGAACTGAATCTGGAATTAATACATCTATATATAGCACTGAAAAACTATTTAGGAAACATATTTACTCACTCTTTCTTGAAATCTGGAAATTTCATCAGCAGCAGTTTTCCTTTTTTCTGCCCTTTCTGTCTTTTCCCTTATCTCCTTTTCAAGTCTTAAAAATTCTTCCTGTTCTTTCTTCTGCTGGGTGTAGTTTTCTAGTAGTAATTTTAGTTTAAACTGGCGTTGGCGCTCTTTCTGCTGCCTTTTCTCTTTCTCTTTCTCTTCTTTCAACTGGGAAGCATATTTCATTGACATTTCTATACTTTTCTGTTTTTTCCAAGCTTCCACTGCCAATTTCTGCTTCTTTCTTCGTTCCTCTTTTTGCTTTTGATTATCTTCTTGTTTATTATGAAAAAGCATAGCTATGTTCTCTGCCTTTTCCTTTAACTTGAAAATTTCCTCCTTTTTTTGTTGCTTTTTAGTTTTCCAATTCTGAATAGACTAATTGATTAAGAAAACATAGCAAGAGAAATATATTATTAACAACCAAAAGCATTTTGAAATACAACCTCAAGTCCACCTTTCTAGAAAAAAATATTGATTGCAGGATGCTGGTTGCTTAGGTTTCCAAGTGTTTGTTTGTTTGTTTTTTAACCAGTGCAATATTTTCTACTTCTGTTTTAAAAGATTAATTTGTCTGTTAAAACACAGAATAAAGACTTATTCTTTTGGCCTTCCTCATTTTCTCTTAACCCCCAGATTCACAGGGACTTCACCTCATTTGTTTGTGTTCATGGGAAACATCCTTTTCCTCTGATCATCTCACTTATGCTTTCACATCCCCTTTCTAGGCTTAGAATCTTTTCTGGGTGTCTCTTCTTTGTTCAAACATCAGAAGAGGAATTAAGAGTGGTGTGGTTGAGAGCATGGGCTCTGAAGCAAGGCTATTTAGGGCCAAATCACAGCTTTGCCATTTATTAGGTGTAACCGTGGATGAATAACTAAAGTACTCTGTCTTCATTTTGCTCATCTATAAAAGTGGTAGGTAATACCTCTGAAGCAGGGACACTGTAAAGATAAAATGAGGCAGTGCCTGGGACATAGTGCTTCATAAGTGTTAAAAAAAATAAAATAAAATAAAAGCAAATTAGCTTCATTGCTCTACATAGGATTTGTAAAGATTATTTAAAATACTAGCAACCTTCTCTATGCCATAAGGATATATCCACTGAATTCCTTTACCCTCAAGTCAGAAAACTACTCCCTTATCTTTCCTCAGGGTGTATCATTTACTCTATAAATCCTTATGTGTACTCTATACAAGACAATGTGACAGGGATAATAGATGATTAAAGTAATACCAAATGCCATCTAGTACAGTGCTACTCAACATGCCAGTCCACAACAATATCAGGGATTCATGCCAGAATGTAAATCAATGTACTGTTTTGTTCAATGAGAAAGTTTTCTGTAAAAAAAGTAAACTGAACTAAATAGTGTGCCAACTGGATAATTGATTCTAGTTCAATCACTTTATCTCACCGAATACTAGAAACAGTTTGCAAACTAACATCCCGTCCATGGACCAAGTTTGAATAGCATTGTTCTAGGTGAAATAAGATATATGCATAAATACCAGAATATATTATAGTGTATATATCTAGTGCTATAGCACATCATGAAAGAGGTATAAAGTGTTAGTAGGAAATTCTGGAAGGGACTACTTATGTTTGACTGGGCAAAAAGGAAGCAGCATCTTATCTGGGCAGATCTGATAGCTGGGAGTTGAGGGGGAAAGAAAGCACGGACTTTCCAGTAAGTGAGAATAAGATAAGCAACAGTACTCTGGTCAGAAAGTCCTGAGCATGTCTGAAAACAAGTATCTCCATTTAGGCAAATGGAGGTAAAAAATGGTAACTCTCCTACTCAGGATCTTATACTGAATAGATTTAAAACTACATTTTGATGCTTTCCCCAATTTCCTTCTTCTCCTCCAACATGTCCTACTTCAGTAAATGCACCTCCATTTTCATTGCCCTACCTCACCCTTATATTCAATCAGTCTTCAGGTATCATGAACAGTGGATGGGAATAAGAAGAGTAAGCTAGAATCAAGGTGCTTTCCCTTTATTAAATGAGGCACTATGTCTGTTCTTTCTCCCTAGAGAGGTGGTTCTTAACTTTAGCTTATAACAAAACAACCTAGAGGATGTGTTAAAACACAGATTCCTGGGCCCCACCCCCAGAGTTTGGATTAGGTCTATGGCTGGGGACTGGTAAGTTCCAACAAGTTCCCAGTTGATAAAAGGCATCTTACCAGCAAAGGCCACTTTGTCGGTCCAGGGACTCCATGTTTTCAGTATCCAGAAAAAAAGGCCAAAAAATTCCTAATGGCTTGTTTTTTTGAATTCTTAAAATGACTTATGTTTCAAAATATTTCTTGAAGTCCCAAATTTAAATCTTCCTATATTTAACTTATTTAGGAGAGATGAAACAATAAACCCAAGCTATTTCCTCTAAAAATTTAGACTAAACATGGAATCAATTATTTCTTTAATGCTCCTTAGGTATGTCATCTGTTCAATAGTCATACTTTTGCTGTTATATCAAGTGAGTTGAAGTTTATAATAGCTGAACTCTACAAAAAATGTGACTCTGACTCTGAGTATCTAAACCCATGGTTCTCAAGTAAGTGTAATTTTTGTCCTCTAGAGGACATTTGGCAATGTCTGGAGACATTTTTTTTGTAACTAGCATCTAGTGGGTGGAAGCCAGGAATGTTACCAATCACCCTACAATGCACACAACAGTAGTCACAGCAAAGAATTACCTAGCCCAAATAGTCAACTGTGCCAAGGTTAAGTCCTAACTAAACCAGGGCCAGAAGAATATTTTTGTGAAAACTGTACTTTTTAGATATTTGCTACACTTAAGTGTTCCTCTTTTCTCTGGGGTAGTCAAAATGTCAAGTCTTTTCAAATAAGCAATAGGGCTAAAGTTCCAAATCTCAACGAAACTTTGAAGAGCCAAATAATTTTTTTCTATTGCCTCTTCATTTTTTGTTGAAAACCATGTGGCCTTTGCTGGTAAGATGCCTTTTATCAAACACCTGAGTAGATCTTGATTTCCCACATTTCTGGTGGACACAGAGGGTTCTGCCCACAATCAGAAGTTTTCTGGCCCACTCTATTATTTCTTAGAGTAGAAATGTTGGCCTTGAGAAAGTACAACTGTAGTTCCTTTAGTTAAGTTACTTAACTTCTCAGTGCCTGTTTCACATTGTATAAGATGGGATGAAAAACTGCAATATGCCTCGTGAAGTTGTTTAGTTAATAATGTGAAGAGTTTAGCACAGTACCTGGAACACAGAAATACACAAAAACAATCTCTATGACAACCGCTATTATAATTATCATTACCTCTTTTTTCCTTTCTTCCAGGGCAAGAAATTTCTGATACCATTTCTCATGCTGTTGAACTTCATGCTGTGTTCTTCCAGGAAGGTGTTCTAGAACTTCTCCCAGAAAGGTCGCCTTCCCTTTATGTTTGTTTCTCACCTTTACAAAGTTCTGGTGATCATAATCATCCCAGCCCCCTTGTCGCCCTCCTGTTTCCTGAAGAAACTTTTCAAAATCTACCACTTCTTCTGGAAGAGTGCTCGGTGCAGTTACTGTGTCCACAGGAACTCTGCCTGACCCTGCTCTGAAAGCCTGCTCTGTTCCCGAACTCGCCAACGCCCACGCGTCCATTCTCCTTGCTATGGCGCTCAACTCATTATTAGTTGTTTTCTCTTCTTTAATAAGCTCTTCATAGCTAAAATTTCACAAACAAAGTTTGAATAATTAGATATAAATCAATCCACATTAACCCTTTACTTTTTTCCTCTTATTTAATTTATTGCTCTTTTCATGTCATCTTCTCCACTTAACGTTATTAACATTTATAAATCTAAGTCTTGAGTTTCCTCAGAGAATAAAAAAATCTTTCAAATTCTTATGAGATTTTACAGTGTCCAGATATAAATGAAAATTCACTTTAAACATGAAAAGCCCCAGCCAGTGTGGCTCAGTGGTTGACCACCAAGAGGTTGCCAGTTCGATTCCAGGTCAGGGCACGCCCAGGTTGTGGGTCGATCCCCAGGAGACGGCCAATGGATGTTCTCGCTCATCTCTCTCTCTCCCTCTCCTTTCCTCTCTCTCTAAAAATCAATAAAGAAAAATAATAAACATGGAAAGCAATCTAAAACCTAAAACAAAAGAATAAAGGTGTTATGTTGCTTTTGTGTAAGACTAATATTAAATATATTACAATAAAATGGGTTATGTATAACAACCTAGTGGAGAATTATTGGAAATATATATATATATATATATATAGGTCAATAATCTTATATTAAAATGCATTTAAAACATACATCAATCTCTGCTCTTCCTTAAAAGTGTTAATTGCATTTTCGATTTCTTCCATCATTTCTCTGAGCTTTTCAACAACTATAAAAAAGAAAAAAAGAAAACTTATGTTATATCATTTCAGTATGACTAAGAATTAAATATGAGGGGAAAAAACAACTGTTCCCATAATTTAAAATATTTCTTAGCTTAAAGGAAAAGAAAAATGTGCTTATAAAAAGCTAATCTTTATGATTATAATTTTTTATTAAAAATTTTTCCTATGTACACATATCATTAAATATTTTTATTGTTTACAAAAAAATGTTTCATACTACATACACTATTTTGTCATTTGAAATTTTTATTAAAACAATGTTGTGGTTAACTGGTACATGTTATTTTATTATCTAAATCAACCCCCAATTCATTAAGTAATTCTCCAACTGATTACCTTTAAATAAATGCAATACTTCCCGGTTGGTGTGGCTCAGGGGATTGAGTGTCGTCCAATGGACTGAGAGGTCCCAGTTCGATTCCTAGTCAGGGCACATGCCCAGATTGTGGGCTCAATCCCCAGTGGGGAGTTTGCAGGAGGCAGCCGGTTGATGTTTCTCTCTCACATCAATGTTTCTCTCTCCCTTCCTCTCTAAAAAAAATCAATAAAAATATATTTTAAAAAAAGATGCAATACTGTAATAAATATCTTTGCACATATTTTTTGCATGCTCAAATAAATATTTTAGAAGAGAATTGATAAAACTTGAAATGCTAAATAAAAAACTATGCATATTTTCCAGTATGCTAAATACCATCACATTGTCCTTCAAAGAAGTTCTACCAGCTTACAGTTTCTGAGTGCTCTTCCCCAGGTACTTTTAATCATTTCCAAAATGAAAGGTAAACATTTACAGTCATTGATTTAGGACATTATTTTGTGATCATTAATAAGACTACGCACTTTTTTTTATGTGTTATATAGTTCTTTCACTATAAAATGGACTTTATATTTGCCCATATTTCTAGTAGGTTATTTACCTTTGTGGCTCTAATCTGTAGGCACTCTTTATATATTAAGTATATTAGCTTTTCAAGTTACATATATATCACTAATATTTTCCTAACTTGCCTTTTAACTTTGCTTATGGGTTTGTGTGTGTGTGTGTTTTAATTTACTTTTTTTTTTTTTTTTTAGAGAGAGAGGAAGAGAGAGGAAGAGATAGATAGAAACATCAATGAGAGAGGACATTTATTGGCCACCTCCTGCATGCCCCCCACTGGGGATCAGGCCCACAACTTGCGCCTGTGCCCTGACCAGGAATCGAACTGGCGGCCTCTTGGTGCATGGGTCAATGCTCAACCACTGAGCTATACCAGCTACATATGTGTTTTTTAAGTAGTCGCTTTTTTCTTTATGGTTTCTGATCTTTGTTATTCTTATAAACTATAACACAATCATAAAAATATTGACCCATGTTCTCTTCTAGTATTTTTATGGTTTCATGTATTAATTGAACAAACTCTAATATTCATATTTGCCATTTTTTAGTGCTTACTATGCTATGCACAAGTGTTTTATGTGCACTGTCTTACTGTATGCCCCCAACAAACCTATGAGTTAGGTTATTTCCATTTTAGAGCTGATAAAGTAAAAAGCTCAGAAAAATAAAGTAACATGCTTAAAATCACATAACTGATAGATCAAGAATTTCACTCAACGTCTGTCTGATTCTTAAATTCATTCATCTTGAGCACTTGACAGCTTCGATCCTTCAGGAATGAATGTTGATGTAAGAGAGGTAAGGATATAATTTTGTTTTTCACAAATGCCTAGTATTTGCCTCAATAATATTTAACCATTTCTTTGTATTCGAAATGCCTCTAAAAGGCAATAATTTAAAAAAGCAAACAATGGGAAAACCATGAAGTTAAGAATCAGGAAATCGCCCTGGCCGGTTTGGTTCAGTGGTTAGAGCGTTGGCCTGCGGCCCTGAGGGACCCGGGTTCGGTTCCCGCTAAGGGCATGTACCTCGGTTGCAGTTTGTCCCCGGCCCTGGTCGGTTGTGCGGGTGGCAGCCACTCGATGTGTTCCTTTTGCATTGATGTTTCTCTCTCTCTCTCTCTGTTCCTCTCTCTCCCTCCCACTCTACCTGAACAAAAAATGGAAAAATGTCCTCGGGTGAGGAAAAAAAAAAAAAAAAAAAAAGATTCAGGAAATCAGTCTTTCTTCCTCTTCATTGGCTGAATCTGAATTGTTCCATAACACAGATTCTCGATCCTATAAATGACCCTAATATCTGTTCTGCCCACTTTATAATTTGTAAGGATTTATAGTATTTAAAAAAATTCTCACCCAAGGATATGTTTCTATTGATTTTTAGAGAGGAAGGAAGGGAGAAAGAGAGAGAGACATTGATGTGAGAGAGAAACATCGATCAATTGCTTCCCATACGTGCCCCAACTGGGGATTGAACCCGCAACCCAGGTGTGTGCCCTGACCAGGAATCAAACCTACAGTCTTTTGGTATATAGAAGCATGTTCCAACTAACTGAGCCACCTGGCCAGGAAAGGATTTATAGCATTTTAAATATAAAAAATTATGTAAATGTCAGATGGTACAATTTTCCAATGTATCCTTATTAGTCTCTAACCAATAAAGTAGGGCTTAGTTTCGTCAATGCCAAATAGAAAAATATGTATTAGAAAAATAAAACATTTTTCTAATGAATAATAGAAAATACTAATACATAAGAAAGAATAGAAAATCTAAATGTACTTACAATCAGGTGTAGGCTTCACATCTTTTAACTGATGCTGAAGTTTCTTTACATTGTTATGTATTTTGGCCAATTGTTGCTGGATTTTTGCTCCTATAAGGAAGAAGTATGTGCTTTAAAATAATTCTATGATAAACATGGTTACAATTCAGGATTCCACACCTCAGACAGATCATCTTCACTTAGTAAAAGATAGCCAAGAGCAATTAAATAATGAAAAGATGGTTACTTAAGTGTCAAAACAGCCTGCATATTTTAATAAGTACCCTTCCTCTAAATAAAACAACTGTCAATTTCCTCCATTACTTAAAAGCGCAATGGGTTAAATCTTACTATAACCTGTGCCAAGGAAATGTCTTTTATTTTCCTCTGTGGAGACTGAGTTATTGGACACTGTTTTGTTTTGTTTTTTTCTTTATTGATTTTAGAGAGAGAGATAGAAACATCGATGACAGAGAACATCAATTGGCTGCCTCCTGCACACCCCCTACTGGGGAACTGGCCCACAACCTGGCCACATGCCCTGACTGGGAATCAAACTAGCAACCTCTTGGTGCTTGGGTCAATGCTCAATCACTGAGTCTCACCAGCCAAGCGTGGACACTGTTTTAAATATATGGATCAGTAGCTTAGGCTTAGTCATGTTTCACTCAATAGATTTTTCTTTTGTTTTTACTTTGTTATAATTTATAGAAATAGAATTTGAAATAGATATCAATGCTTTTTTTGGAATATTAAACTGTCTAAACAATATTAATTCTATAAATACTGACAAACTTCCTAATGAGAATGAATTCAATCTAACCACATTCTCTGAGCAGGAACTGGTGATACCCACTAGTGTTACTGTCACAGCCTTGATGAAGTGCCATTCAGTGGTATCTACGCTATAGGTTGCCAAGCTCATCCAAAGAACCAGCCTGAAATGTTGGGCCCACAATAAAAGCCTGAAAAAGAGAAGAGGGTCTCTTCAGATGTTCTATGTCAGCAGCAGAAAGACTGGATTCCTTTTTCATATTCCCTTTCTGAAGTAATAATCTTACTTTAATACTTATTTAAATATTGACATTCATACATCTATATTTGTATAATATAGTATATAATAGTAATATTATTTTATCATCGTTGGGTACTTTATTTATGTCCCTCCATTTAAAAATATATATATTTTCATGAGTGAAGCACTGTCTAAAAGTCCTTATAAGCGATTTTTTTTTTAAGTTTACCTATAAGCCTGGAGCCAGTGCTAATATCCAAAACAAACCTCAAATATGTATATGTAACTTTGGCTTGTTTTTGTTTTGTTTTTTTAAATCAAAATTTAAGTGTTTCAGAAAAGCAGAAACATTATCCAGTGTATTTTTATAGGGTCTTATTCACTGTTGGAACTTTAAGTCAAGAAACTTCTCTAGTAAAGTTAATTAGGAAAGTGTTTTTGTTTCATTTTTGCCACAGTTTGATCAGCTACAGCAACACCACTATAGGGCAAGTGATCTTTTATTGATTCATTTGGAACTGCCACTCTATATAGGCAAATCATTTAAGTACAATGTTACATAAACGCAGGCTAAAATTATGGCATGATATCTGAGGTAAGGAAAAGGTATTTACTACCTCTGGGCTGTAATATGGAATATATATTAGATATATATTACATGTATATATACATATGTATATATACATGTAATATATATCCTTATACTAAATGCATTCCTTCCTCTCCTTGATAAGATAAACACAAAGTGTGAATAAAGAGAGGCAAAAGTGTAGCAGAAAAAGAAATAAAAAGATAAAAATAAAGTTGCCTTAAAAAGAGAAAATGAAGTGATTTAAAATACAGAGAATGGAGACATTCTAGTTAGTGGCATAACTGAGAGAAAGCAGCCTCTCAGAACTGAGGGAATTTAAGAAATAGTAAACAAAGGATGTTTAGATTTCTCTACCAATCAAAGAGGACGAGCAAAACTTGGTTTTTATATTAGGTCCTATTGTCATTCAAATAGAAGAAGGAGAATGATTCTTGCCACTACCTGACAAAAGATGACTTTTTAAACTAGTGCAGTCTTATATTCTGAAAGAAAAAAACTTACAAAGAATTTCTTTTAATTGGCTATAAGGAATTACCATAAGCAATATAATTTCTATATGAGTCAGTATTTTATAAAGCTTAGTTGATAAGCATTATTTTTCCTTTAAGCAATGCTAAGCAGTTTTTTTTTATTATAACCTAAGAATTTTTCAATATCTAAAATCTACTCTACAATGAAACAAGGTATTCTTGTAGAATTCTTTTTTAAGACAAACATTTAGTATTCCATTAACAATGACTGATATTCATAGCAAACAAGACATTTTCTGTACAATCTGAGGGATTTTTTATATATCATCTCATGGAATGCACAGGACAGCTCCTCTGACATAGAAATGGTAGGTGTTACATCACAGAAAATAAACTCAGGTTTTCGGGATTATGTGACCTGATCACTTCACACTGTTATTAAGTATGGGTTCTGACTTTGTGGCTTTTTTCTTAGTCCATTAATCCCAGTCAACAGGGTAATGAGCTAGGACCACACAGCCCAGGAATTAATTTCTATTTAAGAAATTTTAATAACATTAAGTAGTTTGCAACCAAAAACCAAAATCCTCTTTTTCCTATTAAATTGTAAGAAATACATAGAAAACAATCCAGCCAGAATTACTAAATAGTAACTTGACAAAATAAATGCATATCCCTAAGAGACCATCTCATTACTAACTAGAAAGTATCTTGATATAAAATATAAGTCAATGTACAAATACAAAGCACAAGACAGTACTACAACTTTATAGCATTCAACAGTTTTTGTTCATCATGAACTCAACTTACTTTCTGTTTTCCTGCTGTTAATCAATTTATTTTCCAATTCTTCCAGCATACTATGCTCAATTCTGAAGTCACCCTTTTGGTTGTAGAAATGACTGTGTTTATCTTTTTCTATGTTAATAACTCTTTAGGAAAAGAAACAAATGGTATAAATAAGACTTAAATATATTTTTAATTATTTAAAATATGAAGATACTTATAATAATCAGAACATTATATTTGGACTCATTCATCTAAAAAGCCAAAATATAATGACTATAAGTAGTTAGAAAGAATTACGTTCAATGAAAATCACAAGTAATTTAAATTATAAAGTGTTAATTTAAGAAAATGCAGTCACAAATTCGCTTTGATCTTCCTGTGGCCTGAGAGTGGCCGCAACTGCTGATGGCTGCTTTCAATAGAAGATACTGTTAACTTTATAACCTGAACCAAGACACTTACCTTCCTGGGATGAACCTCCTCGTCACTAAAATGTAAGTGATAACAGCTCTTCACTACCTAGCAGGGCTGTGGTTAGCATTATATCAGATAGTATGTAAAAGGGGTCTTTACACAGTAAAAATGTACTATGGAAATGCAAATTACTAATACAACTAAAACTTCAAGAGACAAACCATCTATGAAAACAGAAATTTTAGTATATTTAAGGGATATTGCCTACATTTACTTCAAAGTTTCTTTAATTTAGTCTATCTACCAGTAAGAAAGTCTAATGTTAGTTTGAATCCTGGGGTAAAACAAAACAAACACTGTACTATTGTACTATCAAGAAATTATTTTTGTTGGACAAAGAAATTTATTTTCTCAACACCTGTCCTCTTTCTCCCAGAAGATGGAAATTAATATTAACACCTCTCCACTAATCCTGGATTTAAGAAGTGGCAGAGTATCTCTGGCCATTGACTTAATTTCATACAACTTGATGGAGCGATTATCTAAGGTAGAGGTCCCAAACTTTTTCACTTTGGCACACAGGAGAAAATTTTGATATTTATAAGGCATACTTGGGAAAATAGATGAGACTGCTCCAGGCCCTACCTGGCTGCCTCAAAGACTTAAGGGATCATAACTTAGCACTTGTCTTTCCAAGAAGAAGCAATGGGTAGAACAGAGATATCAAATAGATTTCAGCCTGCAGGTCAATTCTAATGGATTAAGGGTGGCTACTGGAGTCTTGTGCTGAAAACTGGGAAGCCCATAGAGGCTCCAGTTGGGGGTGGGGAAATTATTATGATCAAATGGAAATTTCTAGCATTAACACAGGATATATTAAAACAGTAAGTAATTTATGTTTTCTGGAGTCAAAATAGTAACCTATAAAGACATTCAAAAGATAATAATGGAGGCAAATTGGCAAACATATGAAAAAATGCTCAACCTCACAACAGAAGAAATGAAAATTAAAACTATACCATGGTAACACTGTACACCTATCAGACTGGCAAAAAAATCACAAGTTTAAATAATGTATTCTGCCCTGGCCGGTTTGGCTCAGCGTTTAGAGCAACAGCCCTCGGACCAGAGGGACCCAGGTTCAGTTCCAGCTAAGGGCACGTACCTTGGTTGCAGTTTGTCCCCGGCCCCAGTTGGGGTTGTGGGGGTGGCAACCAGTCAATGTGTCTCTCTCACATCGATGTTTCTCTCTCTGTCTTCCTCCCTCTCTCCCTCCTGCTCTATCTGAAGCTAAATGCAAAAATGTCCTCGGGTGAGGATAAAAAAAAAAAAATTAAATAATGGATTCTAATGACAAAACTGAGGGAAAATAGGTCTTCTCATACATTGTTGGTGAAATTGTAAATTGTCGGTAAAGGACAATTTGGCAATATAGCACACAAATATTCACATAACTTTGACTCAACATTTCTACTTCTAGGAATATTTCCTAAAGATACACTCACACATATGCAAAATGTGGACCTACATGAATACTGCAATTAATTACATCATTGTTTGTTATAACAAAAGACTGAATATAAACTAAACATCCATCACTAAGTGATAGGTTAAATAAATTATGTCACAATCATACAGTGGACTACAATGTGGTGGTACTGTGTTCCATGATAAGGAAAGATCTCCAAGACAAACTCTTTTTATAACAAAGCGTTCATATGAAAATGTTAGTCATACCCAAAAGTAGAAAATGGTATATTTACTCCCCTGGTATACCCTCAAATGATACTATATTCCTCATATCATTCTGATTTAATAATTTTACCTTTTTTCCTTTCTTGGTTAATCTATCTTTCTTTTCTTTTCTTTCTTTCTTTTTCTTCTTCTTCTTTTTTTTTTTTTTGCTTGCTTAAGTATTCTAAATTAAATCCACTACATTATGTAATTTCACCCCAACATACTTTGGTGTGCATCTCTAGAAATTATAGATATTTGACTTACATCACTAAAATGCCATCATCACACCTGGCAAGATCATTAATTCCTCTTAAGTTAAAAAAAAAAAAAGCAAGATCCAGGACAGATGTTACCATTTACATAAAAATACAAAATATGAATATGTATTTTTATTTCCTTATAAGCACAGATTATAAAATATGTGTGGAATGATACACAAGAAACTAAAACTAGTGGTTGTGTGAGATGAGGGGAAGTGGGTGTCTGGGGTCACGGGTTAAACAGACCTTTCACTCTGTACCCTTTGATATGTGTGGATTTTTGAACCATGTGAATAATACTACCTGTTCTGAAAATAAAACAGAATTATATTATAAACTGTGTTTTTTTTTCTTTGTATGCAATGAGAATTGCTGGGTAGAAATATTCTGCCAGTGGATTTTTCTAATACTCTTGCAATGAGTTTTTCTAAAACCTTATAACAGATGAAGAAAGCCTAATCAAAGCGGTACATACTGGTAGACAAGTTATCAATACTGGCATAATCTACTGTTCTGCTATATCTATGGACATTAACAGTTTGGTAGATTACTATCTAGAGAGAAACATAACTGGAACCCCTAACCTAGAGTCCAGTTTTATCTAAGGTAATACATTTTGGAAATCAAAGAAAAGAAAACTGTATATTCCCAAATTTTGAGTATCAAAGGTACTATATAAGTATTATGTAAATGCAACTGAGAAGTCAATCTCCCAAAACTATAATATAGTATAATTTTTCAAATTTCAAACAGTATACTTTTCTATTGGTAGAATTTCTAAACAGACAACTGCCTCTAATTCTTGTCCAGAGATCATTTCTTACAAGTTTCCTTTACCCTGGGTTCTTTAGCAAATTGATACTGTATAACTTCAAAGCAGTGTGTTGATAAAGTTCTCAATTACAGAGTAGGGCCCAGTGCTCTGAGTTCTAATTCTTTTATCATTCCTCATGATATGTATCATGTCATGTGGAGCTGGCAACACTGAACATTCAATACATACCACTAGTTATTTAAAGAAAAAATACACACTACAAATTAAAAGTTCTCAATTAGCCTAATCATAAGGTGCTGACGAATCTGAAAGGGGCAGAGAACAAGGGAGGGAGACCAAATAAAAGGACAGTTCAAAAAATAATTCGAGAGCACAGGCTTTTCGTTAAAATTATTCACTCACTCAAGAATATTTACCAAGTGCTTACCTTGTTAAGTGAAAATGTGTTCAATCTGTTGTTTTGTTTCCCTTAAAATACACTGGTTCAAAATGGTAAAAATAAATACAATTTAAATAACTGTACTTAAAATTAACTGTGTATTAAATACTATCTCACACTTCCCACCTTTCTCTTGTTTTATTTTCGAAAGGCTAGTGACCAGAATTTTGTAACTAAATGTGAGATTGGACAGGGTGGAGTAGAATTAACTTTATACTGTATTCATAATAAAATGGTTAGTAATGTTATTTGAAGATAATGGTCTTGTACTTACAGATTCTTAAATTTTTCTGCTGTGCGTATGAATTCTGCTTTCTTAGGCCGACTAGCTTTCTGTTTCCAGTTTTGAAGCTGACAAGGATGAATTCCACCTGACGTACCAAAACAGCCATCATTCTGCATTAAAAAATAACAACAAATTTATCCTCAATATTAAAAATGGTGAGATAACCCTGGCTGGTGTGGTTCAGTGGCTAGTGTCGGCCCACATACCAAAGGGTCATGGTTTCGATTTCTGGTCAAGGGTATGGACCTGGGTTGCAGGTTCGATCCCCAGTCCCAGTCGGGGTATGCACCAGAGGCAACCAATTGATGTGTCTCTCTCACATCGATGTTTCCTTCTCTCTCTCCCCTCCCCTCCTTCCCTTCCACTCTCTCTAAAAAAAAAAAAAAAAATCAATGAAAAGAATATCCTATGGTGAGGATTAACAACAACAAAAAAAGGTAAAAGATGAAGGTAGAATTTTTTTTTTTTCAGAGATGAAATGTCAATAATGGAATTTCTCAGGGGATAGTTTTATCCATTCATTCATTGATGGGTATTGTAAATAATATTACAATAAACATGGGGTACATATATCTTTTCCAGTTAATGTTTTAGATTCTTTTGGACAAATACCTAGAAGTGGAATTACTGGATCATATGGTAGTTTTAGTTTTAATTTTTGAGGAACTTCTATATTATTTTTCATAGTGGCTGCACCAACTTACATTCCCACCAACAGTGCACAAGGGTTCCTTTTCCTCCACATCTTCGCCAACACTTGTTACTTCGTGTCTCTTTGATAACAGCCATTCTAGCAAGTATGAGGTAATATCTCACTGTAGTTTCAATTTGCATTTCCTTGATGTAATTAATGATGTTGAGTACCTTTTCATGTACCTGTTAGCCATTCGTAGGTTTTCTTTGGAAAAATATTAATTTGTTCCCTCTGCCCATTTAATTATATTGTTTTTCTGCTATTGAGTTGTATGAGTTCTTTATATATTTTGGATATTAACCCCTTATGAGATACATGATTTGCCAATATTTCCTCCCATTCAGTAGGTTGCCTTTTCATTTTGTTGGTTTCCTTTGCTATATAGAAGCTTTGTAGTTTAATGTAGTGACTTTTATTTTAGAGAATAATTGTGCTGGACATAGAATTCTTGCTTGGCAGTTCTTTCTTTTAGCATTTTGACTGTCATCCTGCTGCCTTCTGGAGTCCAAGGTTTCTGATGAGAAACCAGCCACTAATCTACTGAGAATCCCTTGTATGTGAAAATTTTCTTTTTGGTTTTGCCTTTTTACAGTTTCATTATATGGATCTCTCAGAGTTTATTCTATTTGGAGTTTGCTGAGTTCCAACAACATATAGATTATAATTTTTTTTTTATCAAATTTGAGAAATTTTCATCTATTATTTATTCCAATATTACCCCTTCCTCTTTCTTCTCCTTCTGGGACTCTCATTATACATGATGCTTGATGGTGTCTCATAGATCTCTGAGGCTCTGTTCATTTTCTTCATTATTTTTTTCTTTCTGTTCTTCAGTCTGGATAATCTGAATTGACCCATCTACTAGTTTACTGATTCTTCTGCCAGCTTAAATCTAGTGTTGAGTCCCTCTAGTGAATTTTTCATTTGGTTATTTTACTTTTTAACTCCAGAATTTCTATTTAATTCCTTTGTTATAATTTTTATCTCTTTATAGAGATTTTCTATTTGCTGAGACATCGTTATCACACTTTTAGTTCTTTAGAAATGATTTCCTTTGTTTTGTTTTTTTAACATATTTAAAGTAGATTATTTAAAATCTTTGTCTATTACGTCCAACATGTAGTCTTCCTTAGGGAAGTCTACCTTACTGACTTTTAAAAAAAATTATGTGGACCATTTTGGTTGTTGTTGCTGTTGTTAAAAACTGGACATGTTAAATAACATAATGTGGCAACTCTGAAAATGAGATTCTTTCCCCCAAAGGTTTGTTGTTGTTGCTGTTTGTTTAGTCACTTTCCTGAACAAATTCAGTAAAGTCTGTTTTCTGTTTGTATGGCACTGAACTCTGCTTGGTTAGCTTAGTTGTCAGCTAATGATTTGTTGGGTCAGAGATTTTCTTAGATGTCTTAAACCAATCAGCTTTAGGAAGGGAACTGTGGGCATGCCACACATGCCTTCAACACTTGGGACAGCAGTTTACATCTCTACCCTTCACTTCCTTTCTGCAAAGAGTTTCAAGGTCAGCCAAAGATAAAATCCCAGGCCTACTCAGGTCTTCTCTGGTGTATTAATTTCCTGTTGCTACTATGACAGTTCTGGAGGTCAAGAGTAAAATTAAGATGTTGGTAGGACTGCATTCTGTTAGGAGGCTCAGGGAAGAACACACATTCTTATCCTTTTTTCAACTTTTCCAGGCCAAATTCATTCCTTGGCTCCTAGTCCCTTCCTCAAATCACTTCATCCTCTTGCTTCCATTATCACATCTCCTATCACTGGCTCTTTCTTCCTGCCTCCCTCTCAAAAGGACCTTGAAGATAATCCAGGATAATCTACTCATCTCAAGATCCTTTATTTAATCACATCTGCAAAGTCCCCTTTATCATGTCAGGTCAAATATTCACAGGTGCTAGGGATTAGGATGTGACTATCTTTGGCAGGGGGTGGTGTGCATTCTTCAGTCTACTATACCCGGACTTACACTTAGTCCTATGGTTGTGTGTGATCTAGAGAAAAACTGTTTTGAGTTATCATTTCAAATCAGTGAAGGAATGTAGTTATTACTGAAAGGCTACTCCAGGCACTGTAAAGTGTCATAAAATATAGACCATCACAAGGAGGTCACTAGAAACAAACAAACAAACAAACAAACAAAAACCAACAGAAGATGTAGCCCTATCCTAGTACAAAACCATACACTAGTGTGATACTATTAGAGCTATTTCCCAAAAAGTCAGAATTCAGCAGCTAAGGTGATCAAGTGGGAAATGGCATTTGAGACGAGGATAAAGATATTTGTAGTCTTCAGTCTTGGAAGGCAATGGATGAGGGGAAATATAAACAAACAATATACAAATATTAAAAACTATAGAGTACATTATTATTTTTCATAATAAATGAGAATGTTATAGGATTCCACAACCTACGAAGGTTATAGGATAAAATACAATATAAAGTATTGCTAAATCCTCAAAGATAATCACTCCAAAGTAATTTAAGAGAACTGTTACACACTGAATTATGTGCCCCCACCCCCAATTCATATGATGAAGCCCTAACCTCCCTTGTGACTATAATTGGAGATAGGGCCTTTATGGAGGTAATTAAGGTTAAATGAGGTCATAAGGATAGGGTCCTAATCCAATAGGGCTAGTACCCTAATAAGAAGAGGAGGAGACAACACCAGCTCGCTCGCTCTCTCTCTCTCTCTCTCTCTCTCTCTCTCTGCATGTGCACAGGCATATAGCAAGAAGGTGGCTGTCCACAAGCCAGAAAGAGAGGTCTTGCAACTCTGATAGCACCTTGATGTTAAATTTCTCAGCTTCCAAAACTAGAAAAAAAAATTCTGTTATTTAAGCTACCCAGTCTGTGGTATCTTGTCATGGAAGCCCTAGAAGACTAAAATGGGAACTTTAGATATTTTGGTGGACATCTCAAATATCATGAGGTTGTCATCAGAAAAATTATCTTAAGAAAACATTAGTTGGTTTCGGTGTTAGAGTCTGTAGGAACATTCATTCATGTAATCATATAACAAATATTCAAGTTTGGTGTTAGACTATAGAATTTGAGTGTACTGTTGTGTGTGGGAGAGTACAAAGGTGGATCACACATAGTTAAACTCCTCTAAAAGCACAATATGGTACAGCAGAGATTCTAATTTCTTTTTTTTTTTTTTTTTTTTTATCCTCACCCGAGGACATTTTTCCATTTTTTGTTCAGATAGAGCGGGAGGGAGAGAGAGGAAGAGAGAGAGAGAGAAACATCGACGTGAAAGGACACATCGAGTGGCTGCCACCCGCACGACCAACCAGGGCTGGGGACAAACTGCAACTGAGGTACGTGCCCTTAGCGGGAACCGAACCCGGGTCTCTCTGTACCGCAGGCCGACACTCCAACCGCTGCACCAAACTGGCCAGGGCTCTAATTTCTTTTTTTAAAACCCAAACACCCTTCAGGAGTTCTACTCCATTACCGCTGCAACTGTCAACTATGAGGCTCTGCCTCCTCTAAGTGGTGAGGGGGTATAAAGCAGGGTGTCTTAACCTTAGCACTGTTAATATTTTGGACCAGATAATTTTTTATTGTGGGGGGCTGTTCTTTGACACACACAACTTCTCCATAGCACCCCCAAAACTGGAACAACCAAAAATATCTCGAGACACTGCAAAATGTCAGGGGCTGATACAACATTTGAAAAAGCTCCACAGTGATTCTGATCCAACCCCTGGGAAGGCAAACCTCTGAGAATCACCATAGTGGAGTGATAAAAGTGTACATCAGTAATAATATTAAGCAACTTTGAGAACTGCAGACCATGAGGTGAAACATGGTTATAAGAATTTAGGAGAAAAAAAAATCACTTTGAACTAAAGTAAAGCAGAAAGGTTTCATGGAGAAAGCCAGCAAGAGGGCTAAACCCCCTAAACACTAGGGTCAAACATTAAAAAAAAAATTTTTTTTGTTTGTTATCCTCACCCAAGGACGTTTTTTACATTTATCTTCAGGTAGAGCGGGAGGGAGAGATGGAGGAAGAGAGAGAGAGAGACATTGATGTGAGAGAGACACATCGACTGGTTGCCACCCACACAACCCCAACAGGGACCGTGGAGGAATGGCAACCGAGGTACGTGCGCTTAACAGGAACCGAACCTAGGACTCTCTGGTCCGCTGGCCGACACTCTAACTGCTAAGCCAAACCAGCCAGGGCTTAAAAAATATTTTTAAAGTATTTATAAAATACTTTACATATTATGTATTTTTATGTATTTTATATTTTTCCTGAGTCATTTGGGCCAGAGTTAGAATAATAAAGAGAATTATAGAGGATGTGTGAGAAAATTTGCCTGAGATGGAATTTCTTGAATTTACAGAAGTAAAGACACTGTATTTCCTTAGAGGAAGAAAAAGATGAAACATGTCCTCAGTTCATAACAGCCTTCCTTCAGGTTTAGACTAATCCACAAATATTTAGTGAGCACCTACTATGTTCCAGGACTAAACAGGCACAGTTCTTGGTGCTGGGAATACAATAGTGAATAAAAGTTTCTGCCCCTATAGAGTTTACATTCCCAAGGGTGGGTGGTGGATGAAGAAAGACATTAAAAAATAGATATAAAATATGTAATATCATGGTAATAAGTGCTATGAAGAAAAAGAAAACCAGAAAATAGGACAGGCTGTGCTGGGTAAGGGGATTCAGTTTGGGGAGGTCATAGAAAGAATCACTGAGCTGATGGCATCTGAACAAAGATATTTGAAGGCAGTGACAGTGCTAACCATAGGGAAGAGCTTCTAAGCAGAGGGAATAGCAATCACACAGCTCCTGAGGTAGGAGAGTGCTTGGTGTGTCTGGTGGACCACCAGGAAGCCAGAATGGCTGCAACAGACTCAGAGCAGGGCACTGGAGATGAGGTGACAGGAAGGGGGAAGGGGACAGCTCATAGGCCCAGTGAGATCAAGATCCTCTTGGAGTCTTCTGAGCAGAAGAGTGACATTACTGGACTGAATCACCCTGGCTATTGAGAATACTTTAGAAAGGCAAAGGTGGAAGAATAGAAACCAATTAGGAAAGTATTTCAGCCAGGGAGAAATGATGGTGTGGACAAGGGTAGTGCTGAGAAGAGTGGGATTCTGCATTTATTCTGAAGGTGGAAGAGACAGGAATTGCCCATGCTTTAGGTATGAGAGAATAAGAGTCCACAAGATCTTTGGCCTGAGCAACTGGATCCAACAATTCTCCTGGATCCTCCGGTCCTCACTGTGGAGAAAGGGGTCTCAAAAGGATCTTTGGAAACACATCTGCCTAGTACCATCCTACAGTTGATTCCACCTTGTGTTCACAGCACAGGTACAATAATAGAGCAGCCACCAATTACTCTGCATGAAATCTCTCCCCAACCAAGCATTGTACCAGGGGATTCCCAGACACAATGTCCACAGCTCGGGGAGGTGCATATTACCAGCTCCAATTCTTTAGGGAAGAAAGAATTCCTTCCTGAGTCGCCTGGAGGATAAGTATGTTCCTATCATGGACTAGGTAACAACAGAGCCAGGGTTTCCACCCAGGTCATCTTCGATTCCAAAACTACTCGGAGGTGGCTCTCAGGAAAAGCAGTTAAACGCCCTGGCGAACAAAGAGCAACGCCCAGGGTGCGCCAGGCCTCGAGCAAAGGGAGGCTAACACTGCGCCTCCCGGGCCGCGCTGCAGAGGACACCTGTTCAGCAAGGATCGGGGGCCCATCCCGCCTCCCGGGCCTGCAGGCCCCTCGGGCCTACGCCCGCCGCCAGAGAGGTTCCGATCCTCCTCGATTTACCTGTTGCGGCCCCGGCGCTGCTCCCACGCCGTTCCCGGTGGCCGCGCCTGCCCCCGCCACAGCCCCGGCTACCGCGGTGGCCGCCGCCGCCACCACGACCGTAGTCAGGGCGGCCATCTTTCCTGGACGAGCCGCTCCGGCCGCTGCAACCACCCTGCCCTGGGGTTCAGGCGCAGGGAGCTCCCAGCACTGCAGGCGGTTCTGTGCGCTGCCGGGCTCGGTCGGGATGCCCGGCTGGGCGTGGTTGTGGGGGCGGGGCCGGGCCACAGGGCGGGGCGGGTGGAACAGGGCGGGGCGGGGGCGGGGCCGGGGCACGAGGCGGGGCGCGGGTTAGTTGGCGGTGGGTTTGGCTCTGCTGAGGGTGTGTATAACTTTCCCATGAACTTATCTACTCTTATTCAGCAAAATCTTTCGACACCTCATCTCGCCCGTTCCCTGACCGCTAAGAAAATTCATTTTCTTGCATTCTCATACTTAAATTTATTGTCATATATAGGATATTTTGCATAAACTTCTTTCTGGGTTTCTACTAAGTGCTGGTGAAACTGAATTTAAATGAAAAAGTATTATTGATGGGCTTGAACAATAAACTATATTTCACTTTTCAAAGAAACAAAATAGAGCATGCCCCACACTATCAGATACCAGAGACAGGAATGCCACAGGACTTGAGGTTTTTGTCTTTCCTTAACATCTTATATATTTGCATTTCTTTTCTCTTACACTGAAAATCTGGGTTCTAACTTAGAATATCAACATATTTACTTACTTGCTTTTTCTTGCAACAATTACGTTGTTTCAAATTATAATTCTAACATTACCACTAACAGTAAACCTACTAAAAGAAGTTTCAGATCATTTTTCAGTTCTTTTTCTCCTTAGAATATCTCTGGACAGTATATCCAGCCAGAATATTGTGTTCAAAGGTTTTCTGAAATCTGTCTTTTCTCTGTGTGGTTATAAAATCAATTTGTATATAGTTAGGTTCTTTTTATCGTATTTGTGTTCAATTTCAGTGTTTTCTCTTTTTATTTTCTTTTTGGTTTATTCTTTTAAAAATATGTAAAATGTGTAATATAGCTCAAGTGGCAGGGTTGGTTTCTTTCATGGGGCTCAGAGGGATTATCTGTTCCATGCTCTCTCCTATCTTCTTGCAGTTGCAGGCAATTAGTCGTGTTCCTTGTCTTGTGAAACATTACTCCAGTCTCTGCCTTCATTTCTGCATGGTCTACTCCCCTGTGTGTTTGTGTCTCTGTGTTCAAATTTTCCTCTTCTTATAAGGACAGCTCTCATTGGATTAAGGTCCACCCTAATTCCAAATGACCCTATCTTAACTTGATTACATCTGCAAAGACCCTATTTCCAAGTAAGATCGCATTCACAGGTACTGGGTACTAGGACTTCAGCAAATCTTTTTGGAGGACACAATTCAACTCCTAATACATTAATATATAATACTTTTTATTGTTGAAAGTATTACAGATGTCCTCCTTTTTTTCCCCATTGACCCCTTCCTTCCCACTCCCACCCGGCTCCTGCCTTCCCCACCCTAGTGTACATGTTGATTGTTTGTACATATATGCATATAAGTTCTTTGGTTTATCTCTTTCCTCCCCTCCCACCTCCCCTTCCTCCAAGATTTGTCAGTCTGTTCCCTACTTCCATGATTCTGGATCTCTTTTGATCAACAGCTTATTTTGTTCATGATGTTACACAAATAAGTGAGATCATGTGGTACTTGTCTTTCTCTGACTGGCTTGTTTCACTTAGGATAATACTTTCCAGGTCCCTCCATGTCGTCTCAAAGGGTAAGAGATCTCTCTTTCTTACAGCTGCATAGTGTTCCATTGTGTAAGTGTACCACAGCTTTTTTATTCACTTATCTACTGATGGACACTTGGGCTGTTTCCAGATCTTAGCTATTGTAAATAGCACTGCTATGAACATAGGTAGGGGTGCATATATTCTTTCTGATTGGTGTTTCAGGCTTCTTAGGATATATTCCAAGAAGAGGGATCACTCGGTGAAATGGCAGTTCCATTTTTAATTTTTTGAGGATACACTATATTGTTTTCCATAGTGGCTGCATTAGTCTGCTTTCCCACCAGCACTGTGCTAGGGTACCTTTTTCTCCACATCCTCGCCAGTAATTGTTGTTTGAGGATTTGCTGATGGCAGCCATTCTGGCAGGTGTGAGGTGATATCTCATAATTTGCATCTCTCTGATGATTGGAGATGATGAGCATTTTAAAAATCCTCACCAGAGGATACTTTTTTCCCATTTATCCTAAGATAGAGTGGGAGGGGTGGACAGAGAGAGAGAGAAACATCGATGTGAGAGGGACACAACAACTGGTTGCCTCCCACACAATGCCAACTAGGGCGGGGGACCGAACCACAACCAGTTACATGCCCTTGATCAGAATCAAACCCGAAACTCTTTGCTCCACGGGCCGACGCTCTAACCACTGAGCAAATGGGCCAGGACAATGAGCAATTTTTCATATGCCTCCTGGCCTTTTGTATGTTCTGTTTGGAGAAGTGTCTATTCAGGTTCTCCACCCATTTTTTAATTGGATTGTTTGTCTTCCTTTTGTTGAGTTGTATGAGTACTCTATATATTTTGGATATTAACCCCTTATTCAATGTATCATTGGCAAATATGTTTTCCCAGAGAGTGGGTTCCCTCTTCATTTTGATGCTGGTTTCTTTTGCTGTGCAGAAGTTTTAAGTTTGATGTAGTCCCATTTACTAATTTTTTCCTTTGTTTCTCTTGCCCTAGGTGATGTACCAGTGAAAATTCCACTATATATGATGGCTGAGACTTTTTTTGCCTATATTTTCTTCTAGGATTTTTATGGGTTCGCTGGTTACATTTAAGTCTTTTATCCATTTTGAAATTATTCTTGTGTATGGTGTAAGTTGGTGGTCTAGTTTCATTTTTTTTTTTTTTTTTTTTGCATTTGGCTGTCCAGTTTTCCCAACACCATTTATTGAAGAGACTGTCTTTTCTCCATTGCATGCTCTTGCCTCCTTTGTCAAATATTAATTGAGTATACTGTCTTGGGTTGGTATCTGGGTTCTCAGTTCTGTCCCATTGATCTATATGTCTGTTCTTATGCCAGTACCAGGCTGTTTTGTTTATGATGGTTTTGTAATATAACTTGATATCTGGTATTGTGATCCCTCCCACGTTGTTATTTTTTTTTTTTTTCAAGATTGCTGTGGCTATTTTGGGTCTTTTATGGTTCCATATAAACTTTTGGGGTATTTGTTCTAGATCTGTGAAATATGCGGTTGGTGCTTTAATAGGGATTGCATTAAATCCGTAGATTGCTTTGGGTAGTATGGACATTTTAATGATGTTGATTTTTGTGATCCATGAATAGGTATATGTTTCCACTTTTTTTATATCTTCCTCAAATTCTTTTTTCAATGTCCTGTAGTTTTCTGAGAATAGGTCGTTTACCTCCTTGGTTAAGTTTATTCCTAGGTATTTAATTTATTATTTTGTTGCAATGGTAAATGGGATTTTTTTTGTTTCCTTTTCTGAGTGTTCATTATTGGTGAATATAAATGCCATCAATTTCTAGATGTTAATTTTGTATCCTGCTACTTTGCCAAATTCATTTATTAAATCTAGTAGATTTTTTATGGAGTCTTTAGGGTTTTCTATGTACAATATGTCATTGGCAAATCATGACAATTTCACTTCCTCCTTTATGATTTGGATCCCTTTTATTGCTTCTTTTCTAATTGCTGTGGCTAAGACAACCAGTGCTCTGTTAAATAAGAGTGGTGAAAGTGGGCATCACTGTCTTGTCCTGTTCTTAAGGGAAATGCTTTTAGATTTTGACCATTGAATATGATGTTGGCTGTAGGTTTTTCATATATAGCCTTTATTGTGTTGAGATATGATCCCTCTATTCCCACATTGCTGAGAGTTTTTATCAGAAATAGGTGCTGGATTTTTTTTCAAATACTTTTTCAGTATCTATTGATATGATCATATGGTTTTATATTTCATTTTGTTTATGTGGTGTATCACATTTATTGATTTTCGGATATTGTACCAGCCTTGCATCCCTAGATGAATCCCACTTGGTCATGGTGAATAATTTTTTTAATGTGTTGCTGGATCCGATTTGCTAAAATTTTGTTAAGGATTTTGCCATCTATGTTCATCAGGGATATTGGCCTGTAGTTTTCTTTCTTTGTAGTGTCTTTACCTAGTTTTAGAATTAGGATTATGCTGACCTCATAAAACGAGTTTGGAAGTGTTCCTTCTTCTTAAATTTTTTGGAATAGTTTGAGGAGAATGGGTGTTAGTTCTTTGAATGTTTGGTAAAACTCCCCCGTGAAGCCATCTGGGCCTGGGCTTCTGTTTTCTGGAAGTATATTGATTACATCTTCAATTTCCTTAGTTGTTATTGGTCTATTCAAGTTTTCTGTCTCTTCCCAGTTCAGTTTTGGAAGACTGTGTGATGTTAGAAATTTTCCATTTTGCCTAGATTGTCCAATTTTGCCGCAGTCCAGCTGTAGCAGGATCCAGGGGGTCCCGAAGGTGGGTAAGGCGTCGGCACCAGGAGACAGATGACTACATGACTCAGAGGCAGTGTGACACTGTTCCGATTTGTTGTAATTTTCTTTGTGATTATGTATTTTCTTTTTTGGCATAGGTTAAGCATTTGTGGTTACAGAAGCAGAAAGTTAAGTATCATAGTTCCAGGAGGTTAGTTTCAATTAGACAAAGGAAAGGAACAGAATGATAGATAGACTTATTTTTGTAACAGTAAAATATTGGCACCCAGATATGATTTTTTGATTCTTTGTCTAGGGTTATTGATTAACTATATTCTAACCCCTATTTATTTTCTCTTTCTCTAGATCAGCTATGTTTTGTTTAAGATTTCCAAGGAGATAAGGGCAACATTTCTTATAATATCTATTCAATTGAAATAGAATAGAACATTCTTGTTTTTTGGACCGTAGGCACCAGGGAGGGCCTTGGCATGCTAACTGTTTCATGAAAGGCAAGCTAGTGTAAGGAACATGTAGTCCGTCTTTTTAACTATTCTTAATCTATTTTCATTGTATACTCCTGTAAAGGGCAAAGG